GATGTGGAAGCTCCTTTTTCGTGCAAGATCGTCAGACCTTCGGATGGGGAAGGTGAGATCTCTGCACCCGGTGTGATTCTAGGGGTTGCATTCAGGATGCCATCGTCACTGGCCTCGTTTAGAGGGCCAAGGAGATTGGTAGTGACACCCAATATAGCTTTCGATCTTGTGTTATTTTCGGCCATTTTCTATTTTTTTTTTGAAGTGTAGAGAGTGGTAGTTGGTTGATCTCTAGGTGGATACTATGGTTTTGATTCTCGAAATCTCCACAGACGGCGCCAAATTGTTTGGCTCAAAAGTTAACAATATACTTTGTAAGCTAAAAAAAATAATCAAAAGTAGAAAACGGGTAAATCGTAATCAAATATAATAATCCTAGAGATGCAAAGATGATAATATTATTGTAGATCTAGTATTGCAAAGAGACAGTATGAACTCAATAAGATGCGTTCGTTTGAAGTAGAGATAGAGAGAGAAAGCCAGAAAAATGGAGAGAGTTGTATTAGATCAGATGCCCCTTTTTACAATGTGAAGGTCTCTTTTATATAATAGGAGACCTTCCTCGAAAGAATCAAAAAGTTACAAAGATAGGTAACGTCTCCCTAGTGAAGACATTGAGTCCTAAATGGTGTCGCTTTTGCCCCCACGGTCGAGTCGTACCCACTACGTTGGTAGGCGTGCACTCATTGGGCGTACCCACTGGCGTAGAGATGCTGAGGGTCAAATTTGACCCTATACAATATGAAAGCTTTTAATGGAGAGAGAAGCAAGCAGGAGCGAGAGGCATAATCAGAATGGAAGGTGCTTGCCTTCTAAGAAAAGCTCATGCTTTTTCTGCTTCTTCTTGTCCTTTCTCTTTTTCTTCTGCTTCTCCTTTTGCAGTTGCTGCTTCTTCTTCTCCTGTGTCTTTTTCTTCTGCTTCTACTTCTGATGCTGCCTCTTCTTCTACTTCTTTCTCTTCCTCTTCTTTTTCTTTTTGTTCCCTTTTTTAACAACAATAACCATATGTTTGACATAATGAATTGAACTCATAAATTCAGTTAGTTTATCAAGAAAAAAATTAAGGGTTTATCAAATATCAAGAAAGAAAAAATTAAAAAGTAAAAAGAAAGACATACCGAGAGTAAATATAGACCTTGAGGTTGTCATATCCTGTTGTTGCTTCTACTTCTTCCACAATCTCCAAAGCTGAAGCCTTGAGATTATCATCACAATCGATCACCTTGATTGATTTAAGTGTTCCAATTTCCACAAAACTTTCAGGAATCTTCTCAAGCAATTTAACAGATCGTAGCACTAAACTCTCAAGCATGGGAAATGATGATGATTTTGAGACATGCCATACCATAAGCTGAACACCTCGAAATAAGATTTTGAGTACCGGGAACTCCATATCTCTCACGTCCCACTCATCTTGCTCGAATTTACACCCTTCATATATCAGTCTTTGAAGGTTGGGTAACCCAGCGATTGTGGAAGTTGCACTTGCTGGTATATTAACTTGGCGGAGGATCATCTCTTTGAGACTTGAAGGAAAATAATACTTGGTGATATTACACATCGGACCAAGCACGAGGGATTGAAGCTGTGTAAGAACATCCAATTTCGGAACGAGAGACTTAGCTTCATCAATATCATTATCAGCTATCATGAGGAAAAACTTTTGAAGATTGGGAAACCTCCCATCCATTAACTCTATATCCTCACGAAGTAAACACATGCCTTTAACAACATCATCCTCAAGCCCCACGGTTTCTCTTCAGTACTTGGTGTCGTAGCAATCTCATTAATGTTGACATTCTCCATCCTAATTAGCTTGATCTCTTTTCGGGTTAAATGCTTGATGTCAGAGAGCAGTATACCTAACATGAGTAATAGCAATGACCAGTAAGTGTAGAAAAAAATGGTAATGCTCCAGTTAGACTTAACTTGTAGAAACCCATTAGGAACTCTTAATATAATTACAAACAAATCCAGCTTATTAAAATTCAGAATTCCGTCTTGTATGACTTATATTTAAAATCCCATATATTTCAAAATAAATGAAATACATAATACATATACAATCAATAACAACACTGTATGAGTATAAAACATTGTTTTCTTAATTTAATTTTGAAACAAAAAAGAACTCATTGAAGTTTAAAAGCTGCCACCATGGGGTAACGTCAACCTCCAATCTCAGAACAAGGAAAAATGATTTATATTCTCAGAACAATTCAACCTTCCGTCTATCAGGAGCGTAGAGCTTCTAATCTGTAGTGATGTAAGTTTAATCTATTATTAGAGAGAAGGAAAAGGGCTTTCACATTGAAGAATGACTTATTACCAACTAATTAATAACAACTGTGAATTATTGAGAAATATAATATTGACCATATTCTGACTACAGATTTTAATTTATTAACGCCAGCTAGCAGTATATGTATAATTGAGTTTCGAATTCTGTAATCAGGGACGTATCTTAATTAAAACACATAATCATATCCTATGTCAAGTTATTCAATGATTTAGCTGGTGAATTCGAGGTAGTCTTTTAATTTTACGTTATTGCCCCTACCATCCAAACTCAAAAGTATTAGATTCTATTTGTAAAGCCACCCGGTAATTGGAATTAGTATAATTACAAGTGTATTGTTTGGTTGCACAAGTATAATTACATAGTTAGATTAAATTTTAAATAAAGTAATTATCAAAACTTAAAAGTTAATATAATAAATATATGCCTACAAATGATTTTNAGTTTCATCCCGTACCTTCTCAATATCTCGAAGGTTTCTTTCAGATGGTCGATGTGGTCCTCTTTTCTTGTCGACTTTACCAGCATGTCGTCGATATAGACTTCCATAGTCTTACCGAGCTGCTCTTTGAACATTTTGGTGACCAGTCTCTGGTACGTAGCCCCTTCATTTTTGAGCCCGAAGGGCATTACCTTGTAGCAGTAAGTCCCTTGGTGGGTGATGAAAGTTGTCTTCTCTTGGACCTCCTCGGCCATCATGATTTGATTGTAGCCGGAGTAGGCGTCTAGGAAGCTCAGTAGTTCATGTCCTGCAGTGGCGTCGATCAGTTGGTCGATGTGGGGTAGTGGGAATGAATCTTTTGGGCATGCCTTGTTCAGATCGGTGAAATCCACACACATTCTCCACTTCCCGTTTTTCTTTTTGACCATGACAACATTGGCGACCCACTCGGGATACTTTGATTCTCTGATGGAGCCGTTGGCCAGTAGCTCGTCTACTTCCTTACCGACCGCTTTATTGATGGCGGCGTTGAATTTTCTCCTCATCTGTCGCACGAGCGGATGTAATGGATCGACATTCAGCTTGTGGGTGGCGATGTCTCGCGGGATTCCCGGCATATCTAAATGGGAAAAGGCGAACAAATCTGCATGGTTAGTTAAGAATTCACAATACTTACTTGGGTTGGCGAGACCTTGCCTGATATAGGCTTTCTTCGTAGGATCGGTTTTGTCCAATTGGACTGGGTCGAGATCTTCGACCGTTGCTTTACAGGCTTCCACAACGTCGGGGTCTTTGATGGCGTCCGTTGTCGGGTTGACCTTAGTCCCCGACACGGCTAATTGTTATGCCTCCGCGCTCGCACCCTTTAGCTGTTGGGTGTGGGCGCAGTCTTGGGCTATTTTGTAGCATTCTTGTGCGGTGCGTGGCTCGCCTTGAATAATGAATACTCCCCATGGGGTAGGGAATTTGATCACTTGGTAGAGGCTTGAAGGGACCGCCACGGGCGTCCTATGATGACGTTGTACGCCGTTTCTTGGTTCATCACGTGGAAAGTTGTTTCCAGCGTGACTCCCCCCGCTAAGACGGGTAGTGCTATTTCTCCGGACGTCCGTTGCACTGCATTGTTAAAACCGGTTAGTGTTATGCAGCGCGATATTACCCTATCCTCGAGTCCCATTTGTACGAGGACCCTTGGGTGGATAACTAAAGCATCATAATGAGGGAAAGATAAACCGTCGGCATCAGACTTATCGAAGGTGATACTATCTTCGAAGTCGTCATACCGTTCATGGGCGATGGTCCGCTTTAGTCTGTGTGTGGTGGCGAGCTTGACGTGATTGATCACTGACTCGTCGCCGCCTCCGACGTCATGTTTATCGTGCGCGCTGGGGAAGGTGGCTTTGGCGGCCCTTGGGGTTGTTCCCGTCCGCGTGCAAAGTTGATTTTCCCTTTGTCACTGAGTAACTCCCTCAGGTATCCCTGGTTCAGCATCCTGACCACCTCTTGCCGTAGGTCTATGCAGTCTTCGGTTTTGTGCCCTCGTTCCTGATGGAACTCACATAGGGCGTTTGATTTCCTTGTGGCAGGGTCTGATTTCATGTTCTGCGGCCAATGCACCTTGGTGCCCAGCTTTTCCAGTGCGTACACTATTTCTGAAGGAGATACACAAAATTTATGGGCCGTTAATAAAGGGGGCGTACCTCTTTCGTTTCGGAATGGGGAGACGTGTCGCTGTAGCGCGTCTGTATGCCTTGGTGGCGGATGGGAGGATCTGGTGTATGGCTGATGTCGATCTCTATTGGAGCGGGGGAGTTGTTCTCGTCGTCCTTCGTTCCGTCGATCTCTCCTCGTTTCCGAGTGTATCGCTGTTAGCCGTTGGGTTGGCCCATTAAGATCGTCCTCGTCCGCTCGTACCTCGGCGCAATAGGCGTTGTGGATTTCCTCCCATGTGGTAGGGGGATATTTCATGAGGCGGCTCAGCAGCTTCTTGGTTGTCCTCGAACCATCTCTGCTTAGCCCGTTTTGGAAAGCGGCGACTGCCATACCTTCCGATACGTTTGGTAGACTCATCTTTACCCTGTTAAACCTTGCCAGGAAGTCCCTGAGTCCCTCTCCTGTGTTTTGCCTGACGGCGAAGATGTCGTTGACCCTGGCCTCCGCTTTCTTCGCGCCTGCATGGGCTGTGACGAACTTATCCGCCATTTCCTCGAACGTTGATATTGCCTTAGCCGGTAGCTGAGAGTACCATGTTAAGGCCCCTCCTGTCAACGTCTCGCCAAACTTCTTCAGCAGTACCGACGGTACCTGTTCTTTCGATAGGTCGTTGCCCTTCACAGCGGTGACGTAGTGGATCAGATGATCCTCGGGATCTGTGGTTCCGTCATATACCCTTAAGTAAGGTGGCATTTTGAAGGATTTTGGGGTGGAGTGAGGGGCAGCTTCTTCAGTGTATGGTTGTTCAACGAACCTCCCCACGTCGCGTTTTGGTAGCAACTTGGGAGCACCGGGGATCTTGTCGACCCTCTCCCGATGTTCCTTCATCTGACCGCGGAGCGCCTTGTTTTCATTTGTCATTTCTTCCATCTTCTTTAGGATGGCTGTTAGCATGCCATCGTTGGTCTGTGTCTCGATGGGTTTGTTATTCGCTAGTGTAACTTCCGGTTCGCTCACGGTAGCAGTGGTACCTACCGTTGGTGTACATCCGATGTTACTTTGTGGTGACCTCTCAACCAAGCCACTTAGAGCGCTTGTTAGCCATCTTTCCAGTAGCTCTTTGACCGCTGAGGGTGCTTCCGTAACCGCGGATGTGGAAGCTCCTTTTTCGTGCAAGATCGTCAGACCTTCGGATGGGGAAGGTGAGATCTCTGCACCCGGTGTGATTCTAGGGGTTGCATTCAGGATGCCATCGTCACTGGCCTCGTTTAGAGGGCCAAGGAGATTGGTAGTGACACCCAATATAGCTTTCGATCTTGTGTTATTTTCGGCCATTTTCTATTTTTTTTTTGAAGTGTAGAGAGTGGTAGTTGGTTGATCTCTAGGTGGATACTATGGTTTTGATTCTCGAAATATCCACAGACGGCGCCAAATTGTTTGGCTCAAAAGTTAACAATATACTTTGTAAGCTAAAAAAAATAATCAAAAGTAGAAAACGGGTAAATCGTAATCAAATATAATAATCCTAGAGATGCAAAGATGATAATATTATTGTAGATCTAGTATTGCAAAGAGACAGTATGAACTCAATAAGATGCGTTCGTTTGAAGTAGAGATAGAGAGAGAAAGCCAGAAAAATGAGAGAGTTGTATTAGATCAGATGCCCCTTTTTACAATGTGAAGGTCTCCTTTATATAATAGGAGACCTTCCTCGAAAGAATCAAAAAGTTACAAAGATAGGTAACGTCTCCCTAGTGAAGACATTGAGTCCTAAATGGTGTCGCTTTTGCCCCCATGGCCGAGTCGTACCCACTACGTTGGTAGGCGTACACTCATTGGGCGTACCCACTGGCGTAGAAGATCGCTGAGGGTCAAATTTGACCCTATACAATATGAAAGCTTTTAATGGAGGAGAAGCAAGCAGGAGCGAGAGGCATAATCAGAATAGGAAGGTGCTTGCCTTCTAAGAAAAGCTCATGCTTTTTCTGCTTCTTTGTCCTTCTCTCTTTTTTCTGCTTCCTTTTGCAGTTGCTGCTTCTTCTTCTCCTGTGTCTTTTTCTTCTGCTTCTACTTCTGATGCTGCCTCTTCTTCTACTTCTTTCTCTTCCTCTTCTTTTTCTTTTTGTTCCCTTTTTTTAACAACAATAACCATATGTTTGAACATAATGAATTGAACTCATAAATTCAGTTAGTTTATCAAGAAAAAAATTAAGGGTTTATCAAATATCAGAAAGAAAAAATTAAAAAGTAAAAAAGAAAGACATACCGGAGTAAATATAGACCTGAGGTTTCATATCCTTGTTGTGCTTCTACTTCTTCCACAATCTCCAAAGCTGAAGCCTTGAGATTATCATCACAATCGATCACCTTGATTGATTTAAGTGTTCCAATTTCCACAAAACTTTCAGGAATCTTCTCAAGCAATTTAACAGATCGTAGCACTAAACTCTCAAGCATGGGAAATGATGAATGATTTTGAGACATGCCATACCTAAGCTGAACACCTCGAAATAAGATTTTGAGTACCGGGAACTCCATATCTCTCACGTCCCACTCATCTTGCTCGAATTACACCCTTCATATATCAGTCTTTGAAGGTTGGGTAACCCACGATTGTGGAAGTTGCACTTGCTGGTATATTAACTTGGCGGAGGATCATCTCTTTGAGACTTGAAGGAAAATAATACTTGGTGATATTACACATCGGACCAAGCACGAGGGATTGAAGCTGTGTAAGAACATCCAATTTCGGAACGAGAGACTTAGCTTCATCAATATCATTATCAGCTATCATGAGGAAAAACTTTTGAAGATTGGGAAACCTCCCATCCATTAACTCTATATCCTCACGAAGTAAACACATGCCTTTAACAACATCATCCTCAAGCCCCACGGTTTCTCTTCAGATACTTGGTGTCGTAGGCAATCTCATTAATGTTGACATTCTCCATCCTAATAGCTTGATCTCTTTTCGGGTTAAATGCTTGATGTCAGAGCAGTATAACCTAACATGAGTAATAGCAATGACCAGTAAGTGTAGTGTAGAAAAAAATGGTAATGCTCCAGTTAGACTTAACTTGTAGAAACCCAATTAGGAACTCTTAATATAATTACAAAACAAATCCAGCTTATTAAAATTCAGAATTCCGTCTTGTATGACTTATATTTAAAATCCCATATATTTCAAAATAAATGAAATACATATACATATACAATCAATAACAACACTGTATGAGTATAAAACATTGTTTTCTTAATTTAATTTTGAAACAAAAAAAACTCATTGAAGTTTAAAAGCTGCCACCATGGGGTAACGTCAACCTCCAATCTCAGAACAAGGAAAAATGATTTATATTCTCAGAACAATTCAACCTTCCGTCTATCAGGAGCGTAGAGCTTCTAATCTGTAGTGATGTAAGTTTAATTATTATTAGAGAGAAGGAAAAGGGCTTTCACATTGAAGAATGACTTATTACCAACTAATTAATAACAACTGTGAATTATTGAGAAATATAATATTGACCATATTCTGACTACAGATTTTAATTTATTAACGCCAGCTAGCAGTATATGTATAATTGAGTTTCGAATTCTGTAATCAGGGACGTATCTTAATTAAAACACATAATCATATCCTATGTCAAGTTATTCAATGATTTAGCTGGTGAATTCGAGGTAGTCTTTTAATTTTACGTTATTGCCCCTACCATCCAAACTCAAAAGTATTAGATTCTATTTGTAAGCCACCCGGTAATTGGAATTAGTATAATACAAGTGTATTGTTTGGTTGCACAAGTATAATTACATAGTTAGATTAAATTTTAAATAAAGTAATTATCAAAACTTAAAAGTTAATATAATAAATATATGCCTACAAATGATTTTCTATAAGTACAAATGATATTAGATTTGGTAATTAAGATGCATATTTTTTCTTGAATATATATATATATATATATATATATATATATATATATATATATATATATGTAAAATCATATATTTATAACCAATATTGTAAAAATAATTGGTATATATTTTCTAAATTAATAATATTTAGTTTAATTAATTTAAAAAACTAAAAACATACATTTTGTAAGAACATCATGGAATGCATGTTTGATAAAGTAAATTAATGTTTATAAATATAATGTCATAATATTATTCAAATGTTTGACAAAACTAGTCTATCAATGCTAACTAAAAAATGAACAACATGCAGTGTTGAATAACAAGCCAATACTACTAAAACAAGTAAACTGGAACCATATATATAACACAATTTCAAAATCCAAAAAAAGAAAAGAAAAATAGTTTTAACATATGTCCAATTCTAACATAATAAAAATAAATTCCAATATTACAATTTAAGATTAGCAAACATAAAAGTTTATAACCTTATTCAACAATAAAATTCTACTTTAATGACATCACTACGGCGGATTCATCAGTAACAGAGTAAGATGAAGAAGGGACGGAAGAAAAATTTAGTCCTGGTGCAAATGAGACAAGGTGGCTAAACTGATACAGGGTGAACACTGAAATGAACCTGCTATTCGAGAATTATTGCCACAAGATATTGCTTATCATGTGGTGCAGTAGCTGCCTTTGGTAATGAATCATGCAGAGAAGGACAGGGCTTTTGGGATGCAGAACTCAACAAGACACTATTTGTTATATGGAGCAGAGTGCTGGCCATTTAAGACGCGTATGTCCGGATGATGAAAGTAGCAGAAAAGAGAATGTTGAGATGAATATGTAGGCATATTAGGGGAGATAGGGCCAATAATAAAGATATTTTGGACAAGGTTGGGGCCCCCTGGAGGAGAAAGTGCGGGAAGTGAGACTGAAATAGTAGGGACATGTGAAGCGGAGATGCTTAGATGCCCCAGTAAGAAGGTGTGAGAGGTTGAACATACATACGTAGGTTTCAGGAGGGATAGAGGAAGGCCTAAGAAATATTGGGTAGAGGTGATTAGGCAAGACATGACGCATCTTCAGTAAGCTGAGGACATGATCATTGATAAGAAGTTGTGAAGGTCGAGGATTAATGTAAAAGGTTAGTAGGTAATATAGCGTCCGACTCTTCCATACCGATAGCTTTAGTGTGACTCTTGTTCTGGCTATCCTAGGACCGCTATTATTACATGTCGTTGCTTCAATTTCAGTCGGTTACTATCTTGTTGTTGGCTCTGTTTTTTTTCATAACGTTTTCTTGATTTGTTATTCATTTATTTACTACTGTGACTATGCTTACTTGAGCGAGGGTCTCTCAAAAATAACTTTTCTACCTGCACAAAGTAAGAGTAAGGTCTGCGTACACTCTACTCTCCTCAGACCCTACTTGTGAGAATTCACTTGATATGTTGTTGTTGTAGTATATTTAGCTTTATTTATCAATTTATGAAAATCGTGAACAAAGACAACGTGGGGAAAAAGACAAAAAATTAAAACTGAAAAGAAACTGAATAGGAAAAATCAAAGTTAAAGAGCCAAAACACTAGGGATCTATGAGAGATAATTCAAATGGTTTTAACAATTTGAAAGGATTTAATTGAATGGGAATCAATAAAAGAGAATAATTTTTCAAGAGAAGAAAATGGTGTGAGATGAGGAAGGAGAATGGAGGATGGGGTGTGGGGGAGGGGTGGGGTAGGGGGTGGGGGTTTGAAAGAGTAGCCAAATAATGTTAAAAAGAAAGGAAGAAATTAAAATTGTGACATGTGTCATCTAAATAAGGATTGGGATAAAAAATTAAAAGTTGAACGCGCTTATAGTTTTTTTGTTAAGCATTCACGTGTCAAGTTGCAAAGGAAATGTGTCTTTGCATATTTGACTATTTAGTTTCCAAATTCGAGCATTGAATACTAGAAGAATTGTTTAATTTAGAACCTAGTAACTTAAAAAGATTAGAATCTCGAAGCCATAAATTTGAAATACTAGCTCCGTCTCTGCATTTCAGCTTATATATGACGGTACATAATTGTACCCAAATTTTAATTAATTGAGAAGAAAAACTTTTTGCACATAAAAAGTAGTCTTAGAGCTTATGATCTAAGCATGTCATGACAGTTTTATGGTTATAAGCTCAAACCAATAATGGTACAATGTTGAAATTTTAGATGTCATATGAAATAGAGCAACAAGACTACACTATAACCAATTATTATATAATTAAGTAAATAAATATATATTCTTTCTAATAGATTAAACTTCTAGAGTTATAAACGCATAATTCGATTGATCACAACCGTGTAAAGGACATACGAAAGGCATAATTATGATCATACAAGTATAACACCTCAACAATTTAAACTTTTAAATATGATGATCTCACAATTCAATAACAACAATTGGCTCTTGAAATGAAGAAAATACAAATTAGACAATTGTTTCGGAAGAAGTTAATTTTCCATGGTAAACAAGTAACATTGAACAATAATATATAATATATATATATATATATATATATATATATATGTGTGTGTGTGTGTGTGTGTGTTTATTGATAAATCAAAAGGTTATATAATTCTGTAAACTCTATAGACTCTCACCTTCAAGGCTTCTACCCCGCACCAAGCTATGCCTTCTGTGTCTTTGATTGCTTAGCTTGCTTCCCGTAAAGATAATGCTAAGGATTTAGCAATGGTTGACGATTTTAGAGGGTAAAGCCTAGAGAAGGAATATATATATATATATATATATATATATATATATATATATATATATATATATATATATATATATATATATATATATCACTCTGAAGTTATACCAATAATACAAGATACCTAATGTTCCAGCTGGATCCATTGACTTTGTGTTCAAGTGGTGATTTGATTAATCATCCATCATTTATTCCAAGGTCTATTCTAATAATATGATACCATTATTAATAAAGTTTTTAATACAGAAGTGTCAATGAAATTAAATGGTTCACTATGACCTCTTTTTGGGTCGGGATGGGTTAGGAGGCACTGTAATTGTATTGATAACCTTTCGTATATAATATATTCCGTAATTATGATTAAGTGATATGTATATTAAAGAATACATTCTTTTTTATATAGGATTTTCCCCTTAATTATGATAAAATGATATGCATATTAAAGGATAAATACCTATGTACTTTTCTTTCTATGTGAGTAGTTGTAAGTTTCTTTCTCTCGGATGCTTCCTTCAAGTAGCAAGTACACATGGTATATACAGAAAAAATGCAAGACCTCTATCTCTCTCTCTCTCTTTGTCGGAATTCCGTGTAAAGAGGGGGATTATATATTGGCCACTATGTGTAATGCTTAGGGGTAGTTTGGTAGGATTTTGTAATTACGGCCGGTCGTTTTGAGAATCGTAACCCTGTTCATCCATTTTTTTTTGTTTCATTTGTGTTCTTCATCTATATTATGTTGTACCGGGTTAGTTGGTTCGGGTCCGAAGTGGTTTCGGAGTGAATTGAGACACATAGTCTCTTATTTGGAAGCTTAAGTTGGAAAAGTTGACCGGATGTTGACTTATGTGTAAAAGATCTCGGATTTGAATTTTTATGGTTCTGTTAGATCCGTTAGATGATTTTGGACTTAGGAACGCATCCGGAATGTGATTTGGAGGTCCGTGGTAGAAATAGGCTTGAATTGGCGAAAGTTAAAATTTTGGCGATTTTGGCCGTCAGTGGAAATTTTGATATCGGGGTCGGATTGGATTTACGGAAGTTAGAGTAGGTTCGTGGTGTCATTTCTAACTTGTGTGAAAAATTCAAGGTCATTCGGACGCGGTTTGATAGGTTTCGGCATCGTTTGTGGAATTTGCAAGTTTATTAATTCTTAGGCTTGAATCCGGGTGTGATTTTAGTGTTTTGATATTGTTTTGAGTGATTCGAAGGTTCGTCTAAGTTCGTATGATGTTATGGGACGTGTTGGTATGTTTGTTTGAGGTCCCGAGGGCCTCAGGTGAGTTTCGGGTGGTTAACGAATCAATTATGGCCTTTGAGAGATAGCTGATCCACTGGTATTTTGTTGTTGCTGGTTTCCTCTTACGCATTCGCGAGGCAGGTCTCGCATTCGCAAAGAGTACCTGGAGATCGAGGGGGAATTATTCTTCGCGTTCGCGAAGTAAGGGACGCGTTCGCAAAGGTTCAGGAGTAGAGTGCATCGCGAACGCCAGAGGAGTATCGTGTTCGCGAAGAAGAGAAGAGGCAGCTGGGAACCCCATTTATTTGATTTACGCGTTCGCGAGGGGCGGTCGCATTCGCGATTGTTTGAACTGGTAAAGCTTCACGTTCGCGAAGCATAGGTCGCATTCGCGAAGATTAAATTTGAGAGGCAGTCCAAGTGGTATACGCGAACGTGAGTGTGCTGTCGCGTTTGCAAAGAAGGAATCTGGGCAGGCAGTATTATATTTCAAAATCGAGGGTTTGAACCCATTTTTCATATTTTGAGCTAGAGATCACGGATTTGGGCGATTTTTTAAGGTATTTTCAGGGAGCTGATTGGGGTAAGTGTTTCTCACTTGATTTTGATTAGATTCCATGTTTATATCTTGATTTTTATCATCTAAATTGTGATTTGGGATGAAAATTTGGGGAAAAAGTGGAAGGGTGCTTGAGATGGAATTTTGAGGTTTTGAAGGGGATTTTGTTGTCGGATTTGAGTAAATTTGGTATTGTTAAGTGAATGGGCTTTCGGGTTTTGTAACTTTTGTCGGATTCCGAGAGGTGGGCCCGGGGGCCAGGTTTGAGCCAATTTCGGGTTTTGAGTCCAATTTAGTAATTTTTCTTGTGGAATTGATTCCTTTAGCACATATAAATGGTATTGTACTGCTTGTGGCTAGATTCGGGACGTTCGGAGGCCGATTCAAGAGGCAAGAGCATTAAGGAGTAATTTGCTCGGATAGAGGTAAGTAACAGTTATAAATCTGGTCCTGAGGGTATGAAACCCCGGATTTTGTGTCATATGACTATTTTGGAGGTGACGCACATGCTAGGTGACGGGCGTGTGGGCGTGCACCGTAGGGATTGTGACTTGGTCCGTCCCGTGAGACTGTAGAATCGATTAGCCTACTATTTACTACGTGTTCCCTCTGTTTTTATCGAAATTGACTGCACTTCGGGTTAGAAATCATGTTTAGGCCTTATGATATCACTGTTGAGACCCGTGAGGTCGTGTACTTTCTGAATTAATTGCTAATTGTTGTTTTGTTCTCAATCAGGATATTACTTGCGTATTTTACCTCTGTCCCTTCGTATTCGTCATTGATACATGTTATTATCTCTGTTTGGGCTGAATTATATGCTTTATGAGAGCCCGAGGGAGTGGTGAGGTTGGTGACTGAGATAGGGCCTGAGTGCTGAGCTGTGAGCTATATGAGTGTATATGGATCGAGTTGTACGCCGCAACGAGCCTCAGGGCTATGTATGTATATATATTGGATCGGGTTGCACGCCGCAGCGAGCCTTCGGGCTAATTATCTATATTGGATCGGGTTGCACGACGCAACGACCCCTATGGATGTTAATATATTAGATCGGGCTGCACGCTGCAACGATATAGCGCTTGGGCTGAAGGAGCCCCTCCAGAGTCTATTACTTACTGAGTTGGAAGTACTTACGTTACTCCCTGCACCTTGTGTGCAGATTCAGGTGACACTGGTCGCGGAGGTCGTTGAGTTCGTGCGCAATTGGCTATCGGAGACATACGGGGTAATTGCCAGCGTCCGCAGCCCTTGTCTCTCCCTCCATTTTTTTTTTCTGTTTTTGCATTAGTGGACTATTGTAAATTGTGATTCTAGACTACTTTTAGATTCTCATGACTTAGTGACACCCCGATGTCGGGCTATCTTTTTCCGCAATTTTATTTTGAGTTCAACTCTTTTATGAAGTTTCTATTATGAAAAAGCTTGACTTAACTTTTAATGAAATATCAAAGTGTTTTTGAAAGGTGTCGGCTTGCCTAGTCCCATGATAGGCGTCATCATGACAGGTTAGAGTTTTGGGCCGTGAAAGTTGGTATCAGAGCCTAGGTTACATAGGTCTCATGAGTCATGAGCAGGTTTAGTAGAGTCTTGCGGATCGGTACGAAGACGTCTATACTTATCTTCGAGAGGCTGCAGAACCCTTAAGAAACTTCACATTCTTGAATTCTTATCGTGCGAACCTGATGATTCTGGTAACTAAACTTGTGTTATTCTATTCTCTCACATATCGTAAGGACACGCGCTACTGGTTAGGACAGACAACCACCAGTAATACCAGTTGAGGCCGCGAGAGGCCAAGTTCGCATTAGAGGTCGTGGTGGGGGCAGGGGTGCAGCCCGCACACCAGTCAAGGTAGCACCTGCAGATCCACCAGTTGCCCCAGTTCAGGATCAAGTCCCGATTGTGAATGCACCGGCGGGACCAGCTCAGGCACCAGTTGTGCTCTTCGTGATTCCAGGTCATCAGGAGACCTTAGCTCAGATTTTGACTATGTGCACCAGTCTTGCTCAGGCGGTCTCTGGTTTTACTACAGCAGCCACTTCCCAGGCTGGGGGAGGTACTCAGACTCCCGCCGCCCGTACACCAGAGCAGGTGGTACAGGGACTCCAGACACCGGAGCCACCACCAGCCCAGCCGGTTGCACTTGCTCAGGATTATGTGGTTCCAGCCATGCCTGATGATGAGCAGCGTAGATTGGAGAGGTTTGGGAGGCTCCAGCCTCCGACTTTCAGCGATGCAGAGGGAAAGGATGCCCAAGGTTTCTTGGACAAGTGTTAGAGGATTTCCGTACAACATGTATTCTAGAGACCTGTAGGGTCTCGTTCACTACTTTTCAGTTCATCGGAGCTGCCTTCACTTGGTGCGAGGCATATGAGAGGTGTAGGCCGGTTGGCGCAGTGCCACTTACATGGATGCAATTCTCCGTTCTCTTCCTGGAGAAGTATGTGCCGCAGTCTCGCAGAGAGGAGCTGCGCATGCAGTTTGAGAAGTTTCGTTAGGATGACATGACTGTCACGTAGTATGAGATGAGATTTTCTGAGTTAGCCCGTCATGCTGTTTCGTTGGTTCCCACAGATAGGGAGAGGATTAGGAGGTTCGTTTATGGCCTCACATTTTAGTTACGAGTGCTTATGACTAGAGAGAGGGTGAGCAATGCTACTTTTGAGGGGGTTGTTGACATTTCCCAGGAGATAGAGTCTGTTCGCCGCCAGGAGCGAGTTGAGAGGGAGGCCAAGAGGCCTCGGGGATCAGGTAGTTTTGGTGGTGTTCCTTCTGGAGGTCAGTTTCACCATGGCAGAGGTCATCTTTACAGGCATGCTTAGACGGCTCGCCCAGTCCATCGTGGTGCATCATCTGGCCATGGTCCTCACAGTTCACATCAGGGCCACTCATCTCTTAGTGCCCTCCCATCTCAGAGTTCGACTCATGCACCATCAACTCAGGGTTCATCCATGCCAGGTTTTTCTACAAGTTATCATGGTGCTCGGGGCTCCCTTCAGTCCCCACCACCAGCACCGGGGAGTTGCTACGAGTGTGGAGAGTTTGGTCATATCAGGAGGTAATTTCCCCGCCTAGTGGGAGGTCCAGCTCAACAACAGACGGGTCAGCCTTCGACTTCAGCACCATTTACTTCACCGTCCGCCCAACCAGCTTGGGGTGGAGCTCAGTCAGCTAGGGGTTACCCTAGAAGGGGAGGTCGAT